TCCCTCTCAGTCCCCTCACAGACACGGACTCCCACGACGCATCCTAACGCACTGGTCCCGACAGCCCAGTTCTTCACCAATCACGACGCATTTGACCCCTCCTCGCAGTACCGGATAGGCCTGTGGGAAAGGTCAGCAAGCTCTTCTGCACCGCAGCGCTTCCTGCTTCCTCTTTGAGGGGGGCGCCATTTTGCTGTACGGAGACAGCGGCCCTCAACCAGGCTCGTTAAGGGCAAGATTCTCATTCCTGCTGAAGTGGGGAGAACTGTTGTCCCCCCTCCAGTTTAACTCCCTGATGCTGCGTAGCCTTACAAGTGACAGAAAGTGTAACAGGAGCACAGATTGGGGGCCGCCATGTTTTTGTACGGATCGTTCAAGTACCGCCTCCTTTCCCAATGTTGTTGTTTATGGGGGTTTTCTGGGAACTTTCATCAGACGGAGTTTGCCCAAAGTCACTCAGTGGGTTTAGCCAGAATCGAACCCTAGTCTCCTGAGTCATAGTCCAACGCTCAAACCACTACGCCACGCCGTCTCAATACGTCAGTCTAACCTTATAGGTCATCTCTCTCTCTCTCTCTCTCTGGAGATGACCTCACTACACTCTTATAGTGTTGCTATGCCACTATAACTGCTCTGACTGCCTCCTGTTGCATTCTGGGCTTTGTAGTTCAGTGAGGCCTAAGAGCTCCCTGGCTGAGAATTCTAAATGCCTTTTCCTAAACTGTAAATCCCAGCATGCAACGGGAGGCAGCCAGAGCAGTCGAAGTAATATAGATACGCACTATAAGAGTGTAGTGAGCTATTATCCAGAGAGAGAGGGAGGGAGAGAGGGAACCATCTGGCCTATAAAAATGCCTATACAAGTGCAGTGACGTATTGAGGCCAGCGTGGCGTAGTGGGTTGAACGCTGGCCTATGACTCTAGCGACTGGGGTTCGATTCCCGGCTCGGCCATATAAATCCATGTTCTTTTAAAAACCTTAGGGAGGGTTTAAGGAAAAAAGGGGAGGAGTGTTTCCATCATGGATGGCGTAATAGTGACGTAACACACCCGTCGCCTTGCGGAATGGCCGCTCTTTCCGTACGGAAGTGGCGCTCCGGGGCGGGGCGAGAGACTGATGAGAGAAGAAACAGCAGAGAGAGAGAGAGAGAACGAAAGCGACAGCTGAGGGGCGACCAGGCTGGCTCCGCCATCTTGTTGTACGGCTGGAGCGGGGAGTGAGGGAGAGGGAGACTGGGAGGCCGGGCCTTCCTCCGCCCGCGGGGCCTCCTCCGGAGATGGTGATCTGCTGCGCGGCGCTGAACTGCTCCAACCGCCAGGGCAAGGCTTCCCGGGGCCGAGCGGCCGTTTCCTTCCACAGGTAACCGAGCCCTGCCCAGCCCACCTCCGGCCCCTTCCCCTCAGGGCGACACGGGTGCGCCCTTCCTCACGTTCCTCCTAACACGCGTTTCCTCAGGTCTTCTCCCTCGCTTCACCTGCTTTGAGGAAACTAGAGGAGGACCAAAAAAAGTGTGTGTGGGGGGGGCTTGTCTTCACCCAAGGGGGTCCAGGCACGTCCTCCTTTTCCAGGACCCGTCCTCCATCTCAGCCTTCTCTCCAGGA